TTTAGGCTGGTATCACATTGCATCACACCACGATTTTTCAATGTTTAATACGTCTTGGATGTCTGACTCCAGATATATATTTACATTTGCAAACATATTTATTTTCCCGCGTTATCTCATTGAAATTTGAAACTTCCATAAAAAGTAGGAAAAAAAAATCTCTTTTTGATCCGTAATGTAATGTAAAGTTATGAAGCATACTGACAACATACAGGGTTTCACCGAACCATTTACACACAGTTGTTTGCATACACAGTCTAGGAAGTAACAGCTTGTTTTACTATCTTCCAAAGAATCTCATTAAGGAAGATTTAGTTAATTCATTATGAAGAGCTGTGTTTTTTTTTTTCTTTTCCTTTAGCATTTCAACAGTAGAGCCTCATGTTGCAGAGGCACAGCAGGAAGCAAGCGATATCTACCTTTCAGATATTTTTTCCTGAAAAGATCCTGAATGATCAGGTGGTACACACACACACACACACACACACACACACACACACACTATTTTTGTCATTAGCATAAGAGAATCAATGCTAGATTTAGAACCAAAACTCCAGATAGGTTGATTTCATACAGGAATAATGAACTGTTAAATATATACTTGCTTTCAGCTATGCTCTTGCTACAAATAAGCAGTGGAATGTTGCAAGATGTTTGTTTTATGAAGGTGAACAGCTTCAGTTTAACACAGTATCTTCACTAGGAGAGGAGTGTGACAGTTATGGACTAAGCTCCATCCTGCACAGGGTAACAGACGGGAAGATTATATGAGGTGGTGAATAGATGTGGGGAGAATGAAGGATGTCAGTGTTGAACAGCCAAACACGCATATGCAATTCTCCAAAGTGCCTGATATTTTCCCCTGGCTCTGGCATGTTTAGAGGATAAAAAAGGACAAATTTGCTGCCTATATTCCTTTGCCTTCACCTGCAGAAACTTCTAAAGGGGTAGAAAAATCTTGGCTTTTTGATGTAAGAGGGCCTTTTATTGTTAGAGTTGATTTGATGGAAAGTGGAGACATTATCTGTAATCTATTATTATAAAGTCTTTGAGTCATAAAAAAAAGTCTGGAAGCTCTCTATAAAAGGCTTGAGCTAAGAGAGCAAGAAACAAGGTCGTTTGAGAGGCTGAATAAAGACAAACCAAAATTCTCAGTAAAATCTGACATGGAATATTTTTGTCTTCAGACTCCTATATTTAGAGGAGTCAACATATTTTGGGAAATAATGGAATAATGGGACAGTTCTTACTTACTATGACAAAAATCACTATCACACATCCCTATATCTAATTGTCTAGCTACTATTTCTCTGTTTCGCTATGGGAATTTACTGCTTCCTGACTTATTACAGCTGATGTCATTAAGTTTATACAATTTTGTACAGGCAAAGTCAATGGTTTATAGTAAAATAAGCCATAGTAAAATAGTATAATGGTCATTTTTTAATATAATATATGAACACTAAACCCACTCCCAACATCAACCATCAACTTCAAATCCTTTCATGTACATGATTCAAGAAAATTGGTAGAGATTTGCAAGTGTGAGACCATGCCAAGCATGCCATACAGGTTAAGTTCATCTAAATACAGATTAGATTCTTCTTAAAACCCGATTCTTCTAAAGCTTTTCTCTTACTTGTTGAGCGGAAAAAGAAAAACATAATGGCACATAGCTTTATCCATTTGATGAATGACTGGCAATGACTGGCTAGTTAAATGCATATCAGGGCCATTTCTCTGGAAGAACGATATATATTCATCATTCAAGGATATATTTAAGTCATTTGCATAATCTGTGACCTAAGAGAAACTTCATATTTTTTATCTGATTTTCATCTGAACCCATAATGTAGTTGTTATGCATTCCTGAATTTTGCCTCACATTCTTTTATACCACAGCACAAGTGAATTTGACAAAGTAGTGTCAGCTAAACGGCAAGTTGCAGGTTTATAGTAATCTGCTCGTTCTAATACGTTATTGTTTCTATAGTAACAGCGAATTCAAAGGAACTGTATGGTGGACGCCGTGTATAGTCCAAGCCTAATAATGAACAGATTAAACAATAAAGAATATATATAACATTAACATATACAGTATTAACAGATTAGCCATAAATTATATAATAGTTTATATGGTGAAACTTTCTATAAGGAGACAATTATTTATTGAAGGAGTCTCCAGAGTCAGAGCTTTCAGTAAATTTTCCACCATGGGATAGACTTCAGGATAGAAGACTTTCCATTTTCTCTGTAACATGATAAGCTGCACTTTGTTTTAGTTCCACAAAATGGCACGTTGCTGTCGTATAAGAGGAATAAAAGCCTTTAGGACCCTTTGGGTGTTACAGGAAAATAATCTTCTTCACTTTAGAGTTGGGCTGCATCACACCACCCTGTTATTGATTATTTTCCTATAACAGCACACCCTGTCATGTTTTATTCCTTATATAACACACTCTGTAAGTGTTCTGTTCTGAGTGGAACAGAATACTTACTTGTTATGAACTAAAGATGCTGGCATTCCCACAGGCACAATGGGGGGCACAATGATTTGAATTAGCCGAGATCATTGTGGAGTTATTAACTGTGGAGTAATAATGCCAAATGAAAAGATTTGTAAGAGATTTGTAAGATTCATAATCTAGCAGTTGTTCACACTTAATCACGACATTACATTTTAAGGAACCAGGATCAAAAAGGCAGAATTAGAGCTGCACCATTCATAGCAAAGGTGTTGCTGTAAAGCACCAAGGTCACCCTGATATAACAGCCAGAGGATTTGCAGGTTTCCTCATCACAAGCCAGCAGGGTGCTGTTCGAATGCCATGTAGTGCACCAGGGATGTTGCCTTCATTCTGGCAGGGTACACGTTATAATGTCCCTTTCTTTCACCTGAATACTACGTCTATGTCCTAGATGTCCACTGTACCCACCACAAAGACTAATTTCACACATTTCTAAACACAATTGCCTATTTTATTTTAACTCTATGACTTTGCTTATCTGGACCCTTGTCTTTTTTTTTTTTCCAGGCACAGAACGGTACAGTTGGTTTTTATATTCCTTCCTCAAATGGTGTTTTTATTTTCCTCTAACAGCATATCTTGGACTTTACTTTACTGAACCCTTAAAATCAGCATAGCCATTTTGACAGTCTGTTGAAGAAGTCGATATTTCCGCAGTACCACTTTTTTCCATGGAGTATCCTTCGTAAACTGATTCATTTAAAGATTCACTTTCATATTCATGAAATATACAGTAAATATCTTTTAAGGAAAGTATTAATTTCAATAAAGAAGTGTCAGATGCTTATCTGTTCCCCCCCAGACTAGCTTTTATTAAGATTAGACATTCATTGTCATCCATTATCATTTTCATTTGCAACATAATCCTCCTTTTTGGAAGCGAATATTTTGAGCAAGTAGCAGTATTACAGGGCTCTATTTCTTTTTGTTTTTTTAATGCTAAGTCACAGCTGAGTACATAGCCAACAGATAGGATGTGTGTTCTCCTAGGCTTTATCAGCATGATAAAACTGCTGACCTTTTAGTTTAGAGCCCCTTTTCTGAAAAGAAAACCCTCTGCGAGACCAAAAGAATTCATAAGGGTGCTAGATGGAAGATTAAGAAGAAATATATATATATATATATATATATATATATATATATATATATATATATATATATATATATATATATATA